ATTTTATTTCTTTCCTTTGTTCCTTTCTTTTTCTCTGTTTTTTTCTTTGTTTCTTTCTGGTCACCGGTCACCGCATTCATGTTCTCACCAGATTCACGCTGGCTCAACCCAGATCTATAAACTTTATTTTTATTTATTTCTTTCTTTTGTTTCTCCGTTTTTCTCTGTTTTTTTTTCTTTGTTTCTCTCGCCAGACTCACGCTGGCTTAACCCAGATCTATAAACTTTTTCTTTCTTTTCTTTTTTTTTCTCTTTCTTTCTCTTTGTTTCTTTGTTTCATGTTCTCACCAGATTCACGTTGGCTTAACCCAGATCTATAAACTTTATTTTATTTCTTTCTTTTTCTTTGTTTTTCTTTCCAGACTCACGGTGGCTTAACCCAGATCTATAAACATAACTTTCTTTGTTTTTTTTTTCTTTTTCTTTGTTTCTTTGTTTCATGTTCTCCCCAGACTCACGCTGGTTAAACCCAGATCTATAAATTTCTATAAATTCATGTTTTTTTTTCTTTTTCCTTCTTTTTCTTTTTCTCTGTTTCTTTGTTTCTTTGTTTATCTCTCCAGACTCACGCTGGCTTAACCCAGATCTTTAAACTTTTTATTTCTTTGTTTTTTTTCTTTTTCTTTCTTTGTTTTATTTTCTTTGTTTCTCTCACCAGACTCACGCTGGCTAAACCCAGATCTATAAACTTTCTGTTTTTTTTTTTCTTTTTCTTGTTTTTCTTTGTTTCTTTCTCTCACCAGACTCACTCTGGCTTAACCCAGATCTGTAAATTCAACTTTCTTTGTTTTTTTTTTGTTTTTTTGTTTTTTCTTTCTTTGTTTCTTTGTTTCTTTTTCTTTGTTTCTCTCACCAGACTCACACTGATCTATAAACTTTCTTTTTCTTTCTTTTTCTTTGTTTCTTTCTGTTTCTTTCTTTGTTTCTTTTTCTTTGTTTCTCTCACCAGACTCACGCTGGCTAAACCCAGATCTATAAGCTTTCTTTTTCTTTCTTTTTCTTTCTTTGTTTCTTTCTTTGTCTTTCGTTGTTTCTCTTTCTCTTTCTTTGTTTCCTTCCCTTTCTTTTATTTTTATTTATATTCTTCTCTATCCTCTTACTTACACGCAGCTACGCGGCTCAGCGGCACCCCCGCATCTTACTTATTCTATTGAAACGAAACAACAGAAACATCTGCTGCTGCTGCTGCGTATATTGCTGCTGCTGCTGCTGCTGCTGCTTCTATTGCTGCTGCAGCTGCAAAGTCACCAACAGAGGCTATTAATTATCATGATCCTGTGAAAACAGATGCAGTTACTGCCGTCCATGCAGCAGCAGCAGCAGCAGCTGCTGCTGCTGCTGCTGCTGCAGCAACTCTGGCTGTGGTTCTGCTGCTGCAGCAGCAACCGCAGCTGCTGTTCCTGCTGCTGCAGCAGAGACAGCTGTGGCCTTGCAGCCCTTTGGTTGGTTCTCTGGGGAGGATACAAACAGCAGAGGAAGCGTTCTTCGCTTGAGAGGCATGCAACTGCAGCAGCAGTACCCGCAGCAGCAGCTGCAGCAGCAGTAGCAGCAGCAGCTCGACAGCAATCGTGGCAGCGATGGTTGCAGCAGCAGCAACAGCAGCAGCAGCAGCAGCAGCAGCAGCAGCACTGGGGCTGTTCTTGTCCATTGCATTTGCAAGAGGAGAAAGGTGTCGCCGGACTCCTATCGGCGTATTTGTCTCTTTGTGTTGTTGCTGCTGCTTCTGCTGCTGCTGCTGCTGCTGCTGCTGCTGCTTGGTAGCCTCGAGCTGCTACGCTGCTGTGATAGGGAGAGAGGCAGCTTTCTTTTTTTTTATGTTTAGTTTACTCTGGCTCTGATGAAAATAAATATAAAAAATATATGTAAATAAATAAATAAAAATATATAGTAAATATAAATATAAATATAGACAGAGAGTAATATATCCGTTAAGTTAAATACAACAAAAACGAACAAGCAGCAGCAGCAGCA